TATTATACTTAATGAATAAAATACCTCACATTTAAAGGAAAACACCTTGTAAGTTACAGGTAACATTGTCAGAACAAAACTATTTCCATGGTTTTCACTCAGTTTGTAGTTCAACAACTGCAAAACAACTTTTCCAAAATTTTTGGCTTTCTTCATATTTAGGAATTTTTGAATTAATTCTTAGTTTATATCTCAACATCCAAAATCCCCATCCAGAAATTTCAGAATTCTTGGATTCTTCACCCCCCTCCCTAAAAAAAATACTTTTTGAAAGATACTATTTTAATAAAAAAGAAGAAAACGCAGGAAACAAAAATAAATAAATAAAATAAATCCTGCAAAATGAATGAGCTTCCCTTACTTTTTATACATAATATTTTAACTAAACTGAAAAAATAATATTTACTTTAAAATCTGATGACAAATTTTTATATTCAAACAGTCTTTAAATATACACTGCCTACCAATATGTGGTGAAAATGCATTTCAATAAACAAATTTTAGAAATGAAAAGTTCTCCTTTTTCAATGAAATTGACTAAGTAAAATACAGCATTTTTTAATAATTTCAAATTCCATGGTGTATGCTTATGAAGCATTCCTCTCACTTTTCTACAAATGCACAATATTCTACACTGAAAATTAAACTTAATGCTCTTGATAAAATCTTGGAGCAATACAAACATTGTAAATTTTTATATATATCAAGAGATATTAATAATATTATATATATATATATATATATATATAATAATAGCTAAATCATGAAAGATGGGCTTTGCTGAACAAGAAATACACACATCAAAATTATAACAAAAATATAAAGATTTCAAAATTTGGGAGGGAAACAAAAAAAAATCAATAAAATTAATAAAACTGATATAAAATATAAAAAATGGTTGAAAATTTCCTCATCTTTTTCAAAGAACAACCTAAGAACTTTCAACACAGAAATACTTCTAAATTATACTTAGTTGATTGTTAATACTGGAAAACATTTAAAAGATAAAATTAAATTGAAATTTAAAATTTTTTAATTTCAATGAAAAAATTTTTTTTTTAATTCTTCCAATATTTGTTTTAATGTTTCCAATGCTAACAATCATCCAGATATATTTCAGAAATGTGGCTCTGTTGAAAATTCTCAGGCTGCTCCTTGATAAAAACCAAGGAATTTTTAACAAATTTTATATTTCCTATCAGTTTTATAAATTTTATTGAACTGTTATTGTTTCAATTATCAAATGTTCATGTCTTTGTTTTAATTTTTATATGTGTGCTTCCTGTTAGCGGACAGCCCACCTTTCATGATTTAATTATTATACCTTGATTAAATATTTTTGCAGCAGACTGCGCAAATTTAATAATATACATCACCTTAATTTCAAATTTCTCAACTATTGTTTATAAATACATATATACACATTTCTACAATTCTGTAGATGACCTCTATTAATCGCAATAACTTTATGAGGCATGGGAGAGATGACATCAGTTATCTTTTAGTCAAAGCTGAAGTGGTTATAGGTGTGGCCCACATACTGATGGAATACATGGTAGAAGAAGAAACTTTCAGATGTTGACGTAGATAAGAAGATAAAATTTTATTTCTTGATGAATAATCATTCTGAGCAAGTAAATTCTCATTTACACCTCACTATGGGAGCAATAAGCACTCTACAATCGTTTTGTAGCAAATCACATTTTTTCAGACAAAGGACGAAACGAAGCAGCAAAGCAATATATCTTAGCACAAACAAAGCTAAGTGTGTGCGAGGGGAAAGGGCTGGACAATAGTAGCAAAGGTATTTATAAACTTTATTTCGTTGTTTAAATTCTGTATCTGTGATTGGATACGAGCTGTTGCAATGCAGGACGATTACATAAACAAAAAATGAAAAGATGAAGTCTAGAAAAATTATTATAAACAATGCAAAACAGAAACGAACACACAGATATTGAGAACAGATTCATCTGCGAAATTTCACTCTACCCTTTGAAAAGGAAAGAGTAGATTAGATTACATTCAGTTGTAGCTTATTATAGAAAGTTTAGTTTTTAATACAACTGATTACTGATCATGTCTAAAGTTACTTCATTGCTTCATGTCGCTTTATAATTCTCACTCAGAACTTATAACAACAGAAACTTTCAGAAATATAGAAACCTATACTTATATTCCAGACTATTTAGTGTCTGTCAAATCATTTGAAATAAATGAGTTCCTTGATGGTTCCCTTATTTGCACAACATGATGAAGGAAATAGCTTTACCTGACACAAATGAAATTTCATACCAAATAGGGTTTCACTAGGGAGAAAAAAAATAGTTTTGCACACTACCTGCACTTGCGTTACTTTCACCGGATTAACCCAATTTTTGCCATCACTTTTCACCATTTGGAACTGCCGTGGAATTTGCTGCGAGAATAAAGGAGAATGCCCGCCAGTCTGATGCCCAGATGAAGAAGCCATAGATACAGGACACTGCATCAGAGGGGAAGGTGAATGCTGGATACGAACTGAATTTGACGAACACACCGGGGATGGAGGCATCATGGGTGACTGGGGTGCAGTATGACTCTGAAAAAAAAAATATGCGAGAGATTTAAATTAAATTCAAAAGCTATTTTACAATTTTTTTTATTTCTTACACCTTTCCAAGACCAGTGGCTTTCATGAATCATTTAAAAGGCCACACAAAGTTCTCAAAAGCAATCCATTCCATACTACGATTTATCAATCAACAAACCATTCAGGTTTCTTCTTTTCTCTCCTTGTACACTTATAACAATTATATACTAAAGGAAGGGTAATAATGTAAAATAAAAAGCTGTAATCAGAAACCTACGTACATGCACCTGATAATAAAGATAAGTGTATTGGAATTAAAATTAAGGAAAGACAGCAGTTTTAAACCACTTTACAAATCATTTAACCTTTAAAGTAATTTTCCAAATAATATATTTTTTAGATTTTTGTTTTTATATAAATGCTAGGCAGGTTATTCTAATACAGATTCTGTAAAATAATTGCATGTCAAAATTCCCAAAATAATGTAAATACGGTCAAACTTCGCTTAACAAATAAACAAAGTATTAAACACTTATAAACTTAATAAAATAAACAAAGTATTAAAAATATTATTCCCTTACTGAGCGATACTTCACAGAAACAGTGACACGGAGACATCATAGCACCACAGGAAGGATCCTGTTTGCATCTTGGCTATCAATCTGAGTTTAGTGCTCGTTCAGCTAGCATATTACTGTCACTGGTGAAAGTTGCATTCAGACACATTGTTGTGTACATTTTTTATTATAAACATACTTATATGTTTGTCCCCAATGATAATGGACCATCAAATCAAACAACAAAGCATTGAGATTCGAGAAAGAGGTGTGCGTGTGGTTAATCTAACATGCACATATAATTGGTCTAAAGATGAAAGAGGCTGATGCTTCACAGGACGTCACAGGTGTTTCTACGCAATGGCCATACATTCTCACTGATATTGAAAAATTGCTTCTCGTAAGGATCAACAAGAAACAAATGCAAAGCAACACTATTAACAAACACATAATTTGTCAGAAGGTGGAACAAATTTTTGCCAACCTTGTTAAGAAGACACTACCCATATAGCAAACTGAATTGCTATGACGTTGCAGTGAGATCTCAATGTTGCATTTTCTTCATTACATTTGTGACCACGGTCTAAAGTCGCAGAAATGTCACATTGTGATGTGGATGTGAATGTCACACGGATGTCACATAAACGTCACAGCAAACCTTTAATGTGACCACAAAAAGTGACCTTCCCCACTGTGACCTTGCTCATGTAATTCTTCTTTAATAGGAGGTATTCTTGCGTGCTGACCTTGCACCACTCCCAATTCATTGCCATGTGTTTCAGTAAACCTTTTTAAATTATACTTTTATGCTAATAGCTTACCGTTTTAGTTACTTCTTTTTTATTAAAAATATTAACAGTATATAGCTTGTTTCTATTGATGTGGTACTTCGAAATTATTGCACCATATTCTACCGTATCTAGTGTTACCAATAGAGACTGACAAAAAAGTATTATCCGCATAGCTTTTGTTTGTCTTAAAGATTTTCGCGACCATTTTTTTAGTTCTGTTCACCGAACACATCATCAGTGCTACATTTTCAGGTAAGCACTGTTTATTGTACATTGATATGAATGATGGTATCAGTAATAATTAACATCTATATATATATAAGCCGCTTAAGTGTTTGTTGGCGATAGTTTATTGTTGCCACTCAGAAAAATGAGTGCGGAAATTAACGTTTCCGCAGTTTTTAATTAATATCTCGGATGATGAAAGTCGTACAAAGATGAGAACGGTATTGATGGATTCGAAGAATTTTTTGGAATCCAAGGATACGCATCACGAATTTCAACTGGGCGCCGTTCCATAGATATTCGAGGGGAAAAAAAATTTGGCACGTAGCCAAATCCCTCGAATAGAGGAAAACTCAAGAAAGAAAGTGGAAAATAGGGCAAACGTAGGAAAAAATTAGTTTTTAATTAATATCTCGGTTAATTACAGTCCCACGAAGACGTGAATGGTCAAAATGGCATGCCAAGGACCTGCGGAATCCAACGGTGTGCTTCGCTAAGCCAGGAAGCCAGCCCTTTTGGAGAAAATGATGTTACGGTACCCCATATATATATATATGCGGCTTAAGTGTCTGTTTGTCACCGATAGTTTATTGGTTGCTTGTGTAACTGTACTAGCCAATGGGGTGAAGCTGCCACGACACAGGGATACCATTTCAATTGAGATATAGATAATTTCCTGTAAAACTTGCCTTTGCTATGACCATCAATAAATCTCAAGGCCAAATGCTTTAAGTATGTTGGCATTTTTTTACCTGAGCCTGCATTTGGTCACGGTCAACTTTATGTTGCCTGTTCAAGAGTTCATGAAAGAACGAACGCAAAATTAAAAATAGTTGATAGTCGTCTGCAAGGCGAGCTTAAAAATGATAGAAGGATCTACACAAGAAATGTTGTGTACAAAGAGATCTTTGACATGTGAATTAACATTTTATTATTTAAATCACCTTTATTTATTGAGCTAGCGAAGGCTCTTAAGAAATGTACCATCAATGGTTTCCTTCACTTCACTCTATTTTAAGCAATTAAGCAAGTAGAAGGGGGGAAAGCCCGTGTGGCAGTAAGCAAAAGGGTGTCCTCCCCACCTGCCCTGGGTAATTCAGTTTGAATTAGCAGACACCTTTGCACAAATCATTTTAATTACAATTTATAATATCTAGAACGGCGGTCATTTCGTATGACCGCCAGGCTTTCTAGTATAATAATAAAATGTAATTTAAATGCTATGAACAAAAAGAAATAATGATCTGGCAGTTGATTAACTTTTATTTGTATTACAAACAGTGCAGAAGCAAAGACATAATCAAAAGTTTACCCTCATTTTTGTCTCACTGTTGAGAAATTTTAATTTAGAGAGTCAGTTTTATTTGGTAGATATAATTCCCTTTTTGTTGTTTTTAATGTTAAAAGATAATGTGAAAAAGAAATTTATTTTATGCATTTTACTGCAGTACTTTCATCGTGTTTTACTATTTTTCACAAAATAATTAAGTTGTCACAAAATAATTAATTACTTATTATAGCACCATATTACAAATGATGCCTACTTCCATAACCACATTCTAATTATATAGAATACATTTTTTAATTATTATAACTTAACAAATGATATATTACTTTAAAACACTGAAAATTCCTACGTGTTTCCTATATGTAAATTTCCGAGATTATTTTTTAAATTTATTATATTAAATCTTTCCTTTTCGGAAATTATGTCACAATTTACATATAATATACTTAAGTTGTTAAAGTAACCCAATTTCCTTATTAAGATATTTAGTTAGAGAAAAATATTTCCTAGTTTAGATTAAATAATTTGAATACAGCAAAACACACGAGGGCTCCCTACCTAAGAGAAGGGATGCCTTTGTGGAGGACTTAAGGAAAACTAGCTCATATTCACTTTACATATTAAGAAAAACATGAAAACCAACTGTGCAAAAGTATTTGTTGCTTGAGAGATTAAGAGAATATATTTATGGTATTATTTTTTTAAACAGATACATAAACTATTTAAATGATAACAATATAAAAATAAGGAAATTACATTTCAGCATTACTTATATATGAAGGAAGTTAAAATTTCACTTGTGGCTAAAGAGTATAAATTAATATTAATTTCTCTAAAAAAGTACAAGTTACTTCATTTTATAAAGAAATTAATTTCAAATTGTATTTTCAGAAAATTTAACCTGTTGCAAACAATTTTATAAATGTAATGAAAATTACTATAAATCGAAATGTATATTTAAGCTTTACCAACAAACATTATTTGAAATAATAGTTTTATTTTAAATTTGTATATTTCACTTCTGCAAACAAGATATTTCATTTTGTTATTAGAAACTTAAAAATTACTTCTAACCCTCTAATTACATCTAATTTAATTATCTAACCTAATCACATCTAGTTTTGCTTTAACATATCACTTCAGAAATAGATAATGAAATCATACTAATTTCTGCAATTGTATTTGAAAAGCTTAGAAAAATTAAGAAAGGAATCTTTCACAAAGGAGTTTTAATATTTCATACTGATAACTTGGAAATTCGCATATTATAAAACATTAATTAATTAAAGTGAAGTCTTTGCCATACAGGGAAGAAAAATTGATTTTAAGGTAAAATATAACTTCATGAAATTCTTTTTATTGGAACAGACCTCAGTTCTTTGTCTCATTTAAAATAAACATATAAATTTCTTTGGAAGTTTTATAACAGGAAACCAATTCCTAGATAGCCAATCAAAGGCTCTGAAAACTCCGCAATTGCGCTGCATTATACTGTAGGGCAAACAAATATTTTTTTTATGTAAGAGGCAGGGTTTTATATTTTTGTTATTTTTTAATTTTAACAAAAGTTGTAAATTTATTCCTACAAAATTAAGTAGTGGAATTACATATATTTTCATAAATACATAACTGAAATTCAGTTTTAATTGCGTAATTTCTAAAATGAAAGGCATAAACGTGTTTTCATAATTATTGTGCTAAAAACAAACTAAGAAACTATTTTTTATATTAAGAAATCAAATAATCTTTTTCTCTTCAATTAAAAGTATACTAAAGAAACTGTCTAGCAAAAAAAACAATAAAATCATTACCAAAATATGTATTGATGCTTTTTTGACATCTTAACAGTTTGAAATCATTTCTAATTTCAATAAAGAAATCAAATGAAAACTTTAAAAGGTATTAAATTAAGAAATATAGATATGATTATAAGAAATGTGGTTATTATAAATATTGCAAGCCAAAAAGTTTTTATTTAAATAGTTTTATTTTCAAAGAGGTGGGAAAGGTATCAAATTATGAAATATAGTTAAATTTTTAATAAGCTATAATAAGAACTCATATTTTTAATAAAAATTAGAAATTTTGGAAAATCATGAAGTGTCTTTAAATATTAAATTCTAAAGAATGAAAGCAAAATTATGTACCTTCTGGACAGGGTAATCAACTCAAGTATTTGCAAAATAATGCGCTTAGAAAATGACCATATGATCACTTTTGCATCATATATACTATGTTCTGCATTTTCTGTACACTATGGTTCACGTATATATGTAATAAACATAAACAGATTAGTTATACTAAGCTTAATAGGGTGAGATACAAACTTAGTACGATGAGAAAATTTCAAATGCTTATGTTGAACATTTTCAATAATTTAACAATTCTGAATATTACCAAAATATTTTAATACCTTGAAAAGTATAATTCCTCAATGGGGCAGTAAAAACGTTGTACTTCATTGTTCACTAAAATAGGAGTACATCACGCTTATCATCTAGAAAGTAATCCTGTACTGCTTGACATGCATTTGCAAGTTTAATGACATTACATTCATGGCACTTTATTATGTTACATTCATGTCACTCTATGGCATTATATTAAAGTGGCATTGTGTCATTGCATGAATGCCGCAGTGTGACTTCATAACAATATCACAGTGTAACATCACAACCACGTCGCATCAACGTCACAGTGTGACTTCAATGTTGTAATGTGATTTCACATTAGCATCGCCACGCGACGTCACAAAAAGCGGACATTACGCCATGCCTACAACATTGCTGTGACTTTGAGACTGTCGCAGTGAAACATGTTTGCAATGTCACAGTGGTATCATGTGCTCTTAGGGTAGGATCATCAACAGATGAAGAACTAGAATTCAAGGCAAGCTGTAAGTGGTTCTAAAAGTTGAAGAAAAGAACCAGCATCTACATCACAAAGAGGCACAAAAAAGCAGCAAGCTTAGATATAAAAGGAAGCTGAGAACTTCCTCAGCATATTAATAAGCATGAGAATTTTGAGGGTTATCTGCTGCGACAGGTTTTTATTTAGATGTTTTGGAGGGTTTAAATCAGGTTTTTTATGTGATGACACAGGTATCTTCTGGAAAAGGTACCAAACCGAGCTTATATGCCAAAGTATGCTTCCACGTAACATTTAGCTTGCTCTTGAGGAGGAAGAATTCTCAGACCATAACCAATGAAAGACCTTCTCCATCAGTTTTGAGAGTGGAAGTTTGAAAATTAAACCAGTTATCATTTACCAGTTGGGCAATCTACGAACCTTCACAAAATATAGTCCAGAACAATCTAAGGCTAAAACATATGCGGAAATCCATCAATAAGGGGTGGGTAACACATGACCTTTTTACTAATTGGATCAATGAAGTGTTTGGCCCATTTACAAAAAATATCTGCTTGAGATCTGCTTATGACTCCATGCCTGGCTTGTTATAGACAACACTCCTGCATATCCTCCAGCTATAAAATGGCCTCCTTGAAGAATTACACTGATCAAGATACAAGTCGAAAAGGAATGGCCAAGAAAATTGGATCTAAGTAAAGGACTGGCCACTTAGCACTACTCCTTTACTGCAGCCCATGAACCAGCAGGTCATTTCAAATTTTGGCACTCTTTGAACACTGACTTTTACATCATTGCCTGCATTAAGATGATTGATAAGGCAAGAGAAGAGGTCACTATAAAATAATCTGTATTTCTGCATGAAACTTTGGCCAGGCAGCATTATTGAAAGCAATTCTGTAATCAATGGCATTGTGTCTACGGACATGGTTATGAGGCTAGAAGTTGATATCAATAACATCTGTGAGCTAGAGTTTACTAGTTTCTATTAAACATCCACGAGTTTGAGGGGGGGGGGAATAAAGTTTGTTCTCATTTTGAATAATGCTGATTTAATTTACATAATTAGCTAGTCTTCAAATTACACTATTTAAACATGCACGTAAATTCTTAACAGTATTTTCTAATACCCCTCTCTTTCATTTTTAACAGAAGTTGGATTAATCATCATTTGGGATTAATTTCGGGTTAACCATGAATGCTATTCCCGGTATTACGCTTGTTAATCAACAGTCTACTGTATTACTAAAAATAATACCTCTCTCTAATACTGATAACTTTAATGCTCTCTCAAAGTACTTCTATAATCTTAATTTTAATTCAAAATAAGTAATGCTACACAATATATATATATATATATATATATACAAAATAAAAGACACTAAATATACTACACATTAGGATACTTACAAACTGGAGAGGAGACTGAGAGTTCTGTGGCGATGACTGAAGGGAGCTCACAGAAGTGTGCAAAGGACTTCTTGGAACAACTTGCTGCGGTTGTTGCTGAAGTCTCTTTTGTTGTTTTGCATTGTAATCATTCATAGCTGAACTGTTTTGTTTTAGCTGCTTACGAACCTTTCAAAAGCAAAGAATATGATTATAAATATTTTGCACAGTGAAAAATCTATAAAAAATGTTATTGGCATTAATCAGGGTTTGTTTTTACAGTTTGATTACAGTTAAAAGTAGTTCTTTTCATCATTTCTCATATCTGCTTGCTTTACACCTTATTTGGAAATTATATAAATGACAACTTATGTATGTAAAAAAGAAATTTAACAATTAAAAAAAATGCTGCTCCTTCATTACTCATCCTGTTCAGAGATTACCCCAAGAATGCGAATACAGCACATTACTTCAAGGCAATTCCTTGAAGTAAATGTGCAACAAGCTTTATACCAGAAACTCTGGTATAAATCTGTCATTATCTGTCTTATTATCTGTCACTCTTTAACCATCAGTTTCTACTATCCATCAGCCAATTTGACAGTATGAACATAGTCAGTCTACGAAAAACAAAAGTTGAAACAAAACTGTAATTTAAAACATGCAGCAATACACTTATAAAATGATTATTTTATTCCTGTAGTCATAATAAAAAGCTAAAATATTATTTTAAAGAATACGGTATTCTACTTTTTTCATAAAAAAAATAAAAAAAATAATAAAATAAATGCCCAAAATCTTTTTCTATTTCTATAATTATCTATTCTATAACTATCTATATTCTATTTTCTTTTCTATAATTACTGCACAAACTGGTATTTAACATATATCACAGATTTGTAATAAATAATTTATGGGCAACTACCATTACATGAAAGCTTTTATTTTAATCATTACATTTTTATAGAACTAAAAGTCAAGAATTATAATGTGATTAATTTTTAATACTAATACTGCTTTTATCTATACTACTATAGTAAGCTTAAAAAAGTTTCTTTATTATCAGTTGCCAATATCTCATAGTGGCTGTAAGAAGAATTGCTACAATCCATCCGTTCTTTTATCTGTCATGAAAACAGCTTCCAGACAGAATAGTGAAACCATCCACATAACCAAAATTACATTATGCTGATATTGCCACTCATGATTTATACGGTTTGATATCACCATTCAAAACATGGATAACAATTGAGAGACCTCCACTTGACACTTGCTAGTCTCAAGCCTTAGGTGCTTACATTACATTTACCATGCCCAAACTGAATTATTCTAAAAATGGACAAATAATATGAATATTAGACACCAATGTATTTCTTAACCAAATTACTATTCCTACTAAAAGGTAAGAATAAAATGGTGCATAAGTAAAATAGGAATTTCTTGTTTTTTAAAAAAATATAGAAGGATATCCCTTTTAGTGACAAATGAGACCTAAAAATATTCATAAAGTTTTTACCAAACAATTTTTTTAAATGTGTTTTTTTAAACAAATGCAGCAAACTCAAAAACTGACCACCTGACTTAAATTGATTACTTCTTTTCAAATTTTATCTTAGGCAATCAGAAATTATTAATTACTGTTAGTAATCAGGTTTGACAGTCCTGCACACTGTCTGTTTAGCAGGTTTTAGAGTTAAATATGACCCCATTAATTTACAGCTTAACAATCTACACAACCCCCAATTAATATTACTTACTGCTTTTATGATTAAGGTTGATTATGGCCTTATAAAATTTAAAAAACATGTAACCGATTATTTTTAATTTTACAGCTATCATGAAAAAATATTATAAAAACTCTAACCATGGTCAATTTCTGAGGAAAAATTCCATACGTCAAGATGCAGGTCATGAACAGTTGATTGTAACGTAAACGTTTAATGGAGCACTGCAACCAAACTTTCGAAGAAAAGTAATTCAGAAACACTGGAACAGGATGAAGAACACACTAGTTTTTAAACTTTAAATAATGAATGAAAATTGTAATCAATGCACCAGCAGCAATAACTTCTGATGAAGACTATGAGTAAAAACTGAAACTCACTGAGGTGAAGAAGCACTGAAAAGTGTATCTTTTAAGCATATGAAGCGAAGAAAAAATGAAACTATATCACATATTATGATCACTTAAGGTAATGGCAACCACTTTTTTGTACCTCCGATGGCAAATTTATGTTATGTCTTGTACATTTAGCACACATTTGCATTTAATCTTAAAATAATAAACACTAGTTATTTCAAGATTCTTGTGGTATTTATAAGAAATAATCTTTGGAAGAGGTTTTACCAAAAAAAGAAAAAAAAAATTCAAGATCAATGTAAGATTATAAAAAGAAATTTAGTATTGCCACCTTGCATATACTCTTTAGGAAATTATCTGTGTACTTAAATTTAAAGATTTAAAATATAAAGCAAGTTTATTAAGATACTGTAGGTAAAGTAAAAACTAATTCATCCAAAATATCATTTTTTAGTAATACTGCTGGTATTTTCAATAGGTCCTGAAAACAGACCTATCGTAAATAAAAGTACAAAAACATACACACATTTGAAAATTAGCAGCCAATAATATTTTTTTTAATATAACTATGACAAGTAGATTAGCACATGCTTATAAGTTATCGCTGCAATTTATAACATAAGATATTATAACATAAGAAATCAACTCTAGTGCAATTTCCTCCCAAAAAAGATCATCAATTTGGCTAGTCATACAAAAAGCAATTACCTTCTTCAGAAATTTATCTTAGAAGAATGGAACTTTCTGTAAATCACATTTACACTAATAATTATCATACTATTATTAAAATATGTAAATTTTTAATTTATTATATAATATTATTAGTAGTAATATCTGTTCATAAATATTAAATAATGTAATTAAAAACTATTTCACTAAGTGACAGGGTGACATAGACCATTAAATTTTTCAAAATATTTAAAAACTGTATGTCATTTTTTATGTTATTATCTTCAACCCAAATTATTCTAGGTTAATCTTTTCCTGGGAGACTAAGAGATGTATACCCCACACATTCACTCTATTAAATAAGTCTAAAAAAAATTTAGTTTACTATGGAAATTGGCTCTAGTGTAGAATTAGGTGCCCCTTCGATTTGCGACAATTTTTTTTAAATTTTGGCGATGAAACTTCAATTCTGGTTACCATAATAGTTTTAACTTTGTTTTAGCTTCCTGATTTTACTTAAATGAAAATAGATTGATTGTGTACATGGGCAAATTTAAGGCAGTGCGCAATACTTAGTTTGTGCAATTCTAGGATGTTTTTTTAAGTGAAAACAAGTTGATGTGAACATGGACACAGAGTTTATGTAATTCTTTGACTTCTTATTTTGGTTTTGTGTAGCGGCCATTTTGAAACTGTGCCTTCCTGGCGCCGATCTTGGCGTCAAAAAAGAATCGCCAAAAAACAAGGGGCACCCAATTGTAAACTTTTACCTGGAAATTTAAAATTTGCCACTTAATGTAGAGCAGGAAATGCCAGAACATGCTGATTTTCTTTTCTGTTCCTTCCTGAGTGAAAAATTGACTAAATGGCTTCATACACGAAAAATTAGTCTTTATAGCCCACATGAAAAGATTAATGAGATTCTACTGTGTTACAAAACCACCTAATAGCTGAAGAATAAGAAACTTATGATGCACTTCTATATAGAAGCATCATCAAAAATTACAACAATATCAAATACAAATGAAAATAAAATCATATCCCATTTTATTTAAATAGCACATAGAACAATTTTACACTAACCTGATCAAGTTGTTTCTGCAATGTAGCCTGTTCCTGAGAAACTCTCATAAGTTCTGATGAATCATTTTCAGTCAACTCTGATCCATTTTTTCGTAACTGGCGTTGTTTAGCATTCAAGGCTTTCTTGACTTTTCTTAACTTGGACACTTCAGTCTCAAAATACTTTTGTTGAGAAATTATTAAAGCATGCTGCTGTGAGAGATACTTTTCATAATTGATCATCTTTAGCTTCTCTGGATCAATATTCGGGTCAGCAGTTTGACTAGAGGGTGTGGATACAAAACTCTGGTTGAAAGTACGAGGGATAATATTACCTATAAAAAAATTTTTTTTTTTTAATTTAAACTGAAATTTCATTATGTCACATAAAAAAAATACTAAAATTTTAAAAGTTTATGCAAAGGGAGATATTAAAAAAAAATAACGAAAACCTAGGAAAATAAAAGAAATTAATATTTTCATCTGTTATTTTGCTGTTTTTGCAAAACTCAAACTTATAGACTGATTACCTTAGGTATTTTCACATCATTTCTCATCCAGCTTTATTATAAAAATGTATATCCTCTTTTAGTGAATATTTATGAGACAAAAATGTATTCACATTACTTTTTAAAGAAAGCATATTATATTTAAACAATAGCAAATTAGGCATAAAATATATATTACACTTCACAGAAAAGTTTTTTTGAATCAAAAATATTATGAAAAATTACTGAGAATTTGCTTATTCTCATAATTGAAATATATATCACTTCAGAGCCTCATAATTACAATTTCATTAAGATGAAAATATTTCCAGTTTAAGAAAATTTTTCTGTGATTATTACATTATGATTTTACAGCAATAAAACTATATTATAATATTAACACCATCAGTCAACTTGACCAATGTGTACTTATAGGTGATGTGACCAACGTGCATAACCAATGTGTACTTAATGATAATGTTCTGATATTGGCAACACTGGTTGATTTTGCTGTTCCTTACTCACAATACCTTCCTCTCTCCCCTGCCCCTACCACTACCCAGAATATTGCTTAGTTTCACCTGGAGCACTGATATGTGCTGATGTTTTTTTGTTTTGACAGTCAGTCAGGAATACCGTGTGTGTTCTTTACTGTTATTTTGCTGTCTGCGAAAATGACCATATGTGTCCCTTTATGTATATTGTGCTAAATCTTTGGACATAGTTTGAGGTGATATTTTACAGTTTCTCAGTGATATATTTAGTTTATAAACTCTTTACAGTATGTACATAGTTAGTGATTATGTACTTTTCGCATAAAATGAACTGTCCTAGTACTAGTAAAATTTTGTCAGTGAACAATCCAGATTTTGAAGATATGGTACGCATGATGTTAGAATCTGAGTAAGAAGTGGATGATGTTGATTCAGTAGTGAATGACTCTGCACACCCTGACTATGTAATGCATAGAAGTGAGAAAGAGTCAAGTGGTTCCAGGTCACATGATGACAAGCCAATGCTAAAGATTATGAGAGTGAATTGAGTAATATAATAAATAGAGTAACCCTAGATGCTATGATGCCTACATATTTTCTTGGAGTCCTCCAAATGCTTGGACAAGTAAACATCATCCTAGAAATGTAAGGGTCCAAGCCCATAATATTACAGAGGCAGATTACCGGGGATAATACGCCTGCACAAGCTTTATAAGACAGATCTAATAAAACAGATGTTTGGCAACTTTTTTGGACGCGGATATTATTTCAAAAATAGCTACCAACACCAATGCAAAGTTAGCATTCGTTAGTGAGAAAATCCCCGCTGGGCAAAGTAAAGCCAACTACAGAAACACCAATATTGATGAGGTAAATGCTCTAATTGTTTTGTTTCCATTATCCTTGATTCTAAAATTCAATGATGAAAATATAGAGTCACTCTTCACAAAAGATGGGTTTAGCCTCTGAATTCATAAAATGCTCTAGTGGAGTCTTTGAGATTTGATGATGCTTAAACACAAGAGCCCCCTCCTCCGAAAAAAAGACAAAGCAGTAGCTATTTCAAAAATTTTTGACAAAATCATCAGCAACAGGCAGGCTGTTTATCGTCCTTCAGCCTACATGACCACTGACGAGATGCTAATACCCTTTCAAGGATGATGTACCCTTAGGATTTACACGATGCAAAAAAAAAAACCCCGAAAGTACAGCATAAAGATCATGTGTTTGGCACATGCCAAAACCTCCTACTTATGTGATGCATGCCTTTACATGGGAAAAGGAAGTGATGGAGTTGGTTTGAGCGAAGGCGAAAGAACACTTAGTATACCAACATACTCAGCCATTTGTCGAATTAAAACTATTGAAAGAACTAACAGAAAAATGAACGCTGACAGTTGGTTTATGCTGCATAAGACTGGAAAAATTTTGTAAGAGGAAGCTCATTTTCATACGCATCTTGAAAAAGGACACACGTTATATACCAACTGAATTCCTCCCTAACAATGATTGACGAGTACTCTCTTACAGTGTATGGTTTCAGAAATAATGTAACACTTCTTTCCTTTGTACCCAAAAAGAACAGAGCTGTTTGTCTCCTATCTAGTATGTATCACACAAACCAGAAGAAGGAAAAGCCAAGAATAATTGCATTTTACAACAATACAAAAGCCGGTGTCGACCTACTTGACATGAAGTGTACGGTTTTCTTTATTCAAAAAGAAAAACTAAACGGTGGTAACTAGCTGTTTTCCACAGATTCATAAACACACTGCCAGTGTAAATGCATACATAGTATACTTGTGCTACACAAGATCAACCAAGATGGCATGTCTTGGTTTTATAAGAGCCTTGCTAAGAAGTTGTTTACTCCTCATCTTCGTAAGAGGATTACTGAAGTGACTAATCATCCATGGGACTTGAAACAGGAAATAAACCAGATCCTGGGAAATAATGCTGCTACCCAGGTAGAATGTGTGCCTGATGATCGACTCCAGAAATGGAAAATATGTGATAAGTGCCCACCAAGAAGTGACAGAAAAATGCAGAACAAATGCATCAAGTACAACCTCTCAATATGTGGACAAAGTCAAAGAAGAGCATGTAATGTATACGACTACGTATGACAGTGCAGAAGATTGTGTGCGAGTGTGAGCAAAGGAACTGAGGAAGTTTGTGAATTTTATATTACACCAATATATAATATGTCAATGTTTGGTAACAACAAGTTTTCTGGTTTTGTAAACGTTCCAACATTTATTATCACTCATGTTTAATAATCATTGTTTGGTAATTTAAATGTCCTTTAATTTTTCATTACCTTACGATGTTTTTTAGTCTAAAGGGGCTTTGTCCCTGAAGGACTATTGTTTTCATTTTGCGATTTTGCATTGAATCACTATAAATGTCCATTTCACTTTTCAAACTGTTGTCACGAAATGTTATAGTCCTGCATTATATTTGAAGAAATTAAATAATGAAAAATCTACATAAATCTATGCATATTTCTCGCATTGTGATAAAACAACGGTACATAGAGTCATCGAATTTTGAATGACGTAATCTTCCTACGAATATGGGCATATGGAAGACCAAATTTGGAATTTGTTTTATTATTGATTTCATAGTTTGTAAAACTTTAATGAATTTTTGATTAACAAACTCAAGGATTTCAAAGCGAGCAATGGCAACACCCTACCGGGGGGGGGGGATTATCTCCAGCATGCGGAACTGTGTATCGGAAATTCTAAAGATATGCCCATTTTTAAAATTATTTTACGACATTGCTATTGAACTGAATTTTATGGTTTAAGTGCAAAGAACATGATATTTAATAAATAAAGGTAACACACAAAACATTAAAAAAATGCCCCTTTGGGCATAATTTAAAATCTGAAACCTTTCAGATTTTTTTAAATGGTAAAATAGGTAAAAAAACATTAAAAATGCATACAAAATAAATAATCATGCATGCAACATATGGTGAAAATGAATACATGGCCTTTGTATTAATGAACATGTATTTTTATAGGTGTTAATAACATATTTTTAGCATTTGAAAACTTATGAAGTACTAGTTCATTCAGCATAGTTATAAATTAAAGAATGTAACACTAAGAAATAGCAAAATGTATCTCTGACTGTAAAGGGGGGGGTTAATTTAATTTTAACCAATGTCTCGAGACAAGCCAAAAATAACTCAAAAATCCAAAATTTTGAAATTATATATTTTAGCTGATTTTTTCCTATATTTGAGTCAAACTTCTTGCTTTTATTATTTGTAATGAGAATAAACTTTTATTAAAATACCTATGGATTTTTAAGATTTTGTAACAAAACAAAAAAATTTAATATTTGCATCATTAAAAATATTTTTATAATTATAAATAGAACTTTTACTAAATATAACTAACAGAGACTAGGTACATGTAGAAAATATTTAGGATTTATTAATTTTATAGAACTGGCTTTTCAAATTTTAAAACTAAAAATGTGAATACTTGCATTATTTAAAAATTTTTTTTAACTATATATATATTTACCAATAGTAGTTGTGAAAACAAAGACCATGGTACATATACAGTAGAGTCCTACTCATTTAACATGCCATCGGGGGGGGGCATCATCATTTGGCAATAAGAACTACAGGTTGTGAATGTTGTCATTCCCCCCCCCTTTCGTTATTACTGACTCTACTGTGGGACATGCCCAGTTACACTATTACTCGTGTGTCTATCATTCAATGAAGTGCAGTTTATCACTACATGTAACAGACAAAAACCACTCAGTTTGTCTGTTATTGTTCATGCACGTCTGTGTGCTGTGCATCTGGCAAGCAGTAACGTGGTGTTTAAAAGTTAAAATTTATGCAAGTGCAGAACGAATAGCAATGAAAAGAAAGAAAGTTAATAGTAGTGATGGAACAAAAACTTGAGGTACTTAATAAACAATGCAAAAGATAGCTGACAACTTTGGTGTTCATTAAATATCAGTAAGAGACTGAAAAAGCAAACAAATAGAATAAGAAAAATAGTATGCATGAAGAATTATGTAGTGGAAATGAAAAAATGAGTGAAGCTTTGTATGTTCTGTTTATACAGTTCAGAAACAAAGGTGTGCCTATTTAAGGAATATGTTGCGACACTTGATGAAGCATGGGTTTATTTGGATGATTGCAACAAGAAAAGAACTATTTATTACCAAAAACAAAGAGAAAAAAGTCTACAAACCTGATTCCGTTATTGCAAAGGAAATTTCGACATTTCCAGCGGGAAATTAAAACTAAGAAAACTGGGGAAATGTTAAAATGAACTCAATGTACTATCAAGAAAAGTTTTATATTCCATATTTACGATAGAAATTCCTTTTCTTTATCCCAATGGCTTTCAAAGAGTGACACTTTATCAAGACACAGCAATAAGTCATACTTCAAAAAGTATCATCACATTCCTTGAAAAAAATGAAGACTGATATATCTATAACATATAGTACAAATTTTCAACATATTCCTGCAATATCCCTGACCTTTCACCTATGGATAATTGCACCTTTGGTTTCTTGAAAAGAGCTCTTTTTAAGCACAACTCTCCACAATTAATGGGCTCTGGAAAGTAGTGGAAATCAATATCCCTGGAAATTTTACAAAAAGCCCTTCTATCATGAAAATTATGATGCAGACTTATGTAATTCAGAAAACAAAATATCAAATCGAACATTAAACAAAATACTCTTTACATTTCAAGCATTAATTAAACAGCCCCAAGCCTTTCTAAAAATGTGCAAATACCCTCTATACTATGGTAATCGGAAAGTATCAATCTGGTTCACAGTACACAATATCTACTATATCCCATTCAAAGCAATCCCTTTCGCCTATGCATTTATACCAAAGGTTCCCTCCCCTGTGCTCGAACTGTTTTAAAATCCTTTCTGTCAAATTTCTTCCAAGACTCATGGAAAATTTCCTTTTATTGAAATAGCAGACTCAAAAATGATGACTAAAAAGCAAGTTTTAACTGTGAAAATAGAAAACGTCACATAATGGTATATGAAATGAATATGGAAGTTAAAAAATAGTGGATATGGAGAGCTATATTTACTGTATTTTGGGGCAAAAATTTACATATACGAAAGTGAGTACAGCTACTGTTGCAGTCCACATATGAGTTCAGGAATTTATTCAATAATATCGCAACAATAGCTAAGCACAAAATCTTTGACTTATCAATGTGTTACTCATTAATTAAAATGGATGACCAACAACAACATAGTAAAACGTCAAAGCACTATCTGCTTTCGTTAAACATTTTACATGACAAAGGTGATTTTATGTGCATGTGTATTTTAAATGAATCATTCCAGATATTTTTTAACTACAGTAGTATAGAATAGGCTCTAAACTATAATAATTACATAAAATTTGAGAACATAAACCAATTTTAAATTAAATATTAATGCTTGAAAATAGGAAACTTTTCCTAAATTTTGGAAAAAAAAAATCTCTTTAATCTTCTAAGTTAAATAATCAAGGGATACTGCAAAATTATTTTACTTCATTCAGATCATGTAATTTAATTACATTAATTCATTTAGCATGTAAAAAATAGATAGTAATATTTTTTAATGAAAAAGAAACAATTTAAGTTTTTTTTTTTTTTTTTTTTTTTTTTTTCTTTTTTCCCCCTTACCTGTTACAGTCTGGTTTTTCTGGGCTATTGCAGATGCAGGTATTGAACCTAAAGGCCCCAATACTGTTGAGACAGGAGTTTTAGTTTTTAAATTTTGCATTACTGTTAAAGGTCGAGAAGCCAAAGGAACAGATGCATCTTGATTTTGCCACAGTAATGAATATGGAGGAGGTCCAAAATTATGCACACCAGGAGAAGACACTCCCACAGAAGGAGATACTGCTGTTGGTAGGGAAGGTTCATGAGAACCTAGTAGAGTTCCTGGACCACCAATACTGTCATCTGGGGGGCCAGAGAAAACATCATCTTTGAGTCTTTCAAAATCAATATCACTCAACAGCGCATCACCATGTGGAGAAATAAGTCCTTCCTGGGTCTGCCGTCGTTGCTCTCTCTTTTCTTGTTCTACTAGTTCTTCAAGAAGAAGTGGTTGTTCTTGCAGTAAAAGTGGCTTGGCTTGAACATTTGGAATGACATTTTGCTGAGATAAAGATAAATCTGGCCGAATGTTCATATTGATATGAAGAGGAAACAAAGCCTTATTTTGGGGATGGAGAGTAGCATTTTGTTGAGTCTGATGGGTTCCAAGTGTATGCTTAAGAGTAGTCACCATTCGATATGATGGTGGAGGCAATATCTGTTCAGAACACCGTATTCCAGAATGCTGAGGAGCTAAATTCTGAGATGCAGGATTGAAAGACATAGTTGGAGTCTTCTGAATGGAACAAGTTTCAACAGAACTTTTTTCCAGTTTTATATCAATGCCAGGAGAAAAAGTTTGGGATGATAAACTACAACTTGAAAATGTCTGTTTAGGTTCCTCTTTAACAGTATTCACAACCTGATCTACAGTAGGACTGTCTACACAACTTTCTAAATTTTTAGCCTTAAAAGAATTCTCAAATACCATATCAGTTTCAAGACCTTTTTTGTTAAAATCTAAAAATGTTTCATGCAAATGAGAAGATTTAGATTGTTCCATATTATCATTGCACTTCTGATTTTCAACACTTAAATCTTTCTTATCACTACTAGAAATTTCTTGAGGTAATAGGTCTTTTTCTTGTGTATCCTGCTCCTTAATTACATCGTCTTCCAATTCTTCATCTTTATCATCTAAATCTAAATGCTCATCTAAAATATTACTTTTCTCTCCCTCACCTACGAGACTTTTGTCCAATTCAGGATCAGCATATTCTAATATATTGAAGTCATTACCAAGCCCTATTACAAATATAAAATATAATTAGTTTTTCATATCAGAGACAGAAATGAACTTCAGATAATATTTTGATACAAAAATTCAGTTATAAATGAAATTATCATCACTCAGGAAAAAAGAAGAGAATGGATAGATAGATGAAAATTTAAAATCCATGTGAAGTTTTTCTTCACATATATGTATATATATATATATATATATACACAACAAATATACAGTACAGTCAGTCGTCATCAAACCATCCCCCCCACTGGTCAGTCAAAAGTGACATAAAGAGCAAATAACGGTAAAAGCAGATTAACAAAGCTTTTTATATTAATCAAGGTCAAACATTCTAGAAACAAAATATAACTTAGATACACTCAATGTTTATGATTATTATTAAAAATACATTTATGCAAATACTATTTCTAAAGTCACACTAAAGTGCTAATTAAAAATTTAATTGCTTTACACAAATCAAAATAAACTAAAAAATTTACTTATTATTTTATTTAAAACAGACCTAAGTGAACGTTTGTTTTAATACTAGTTTGTTACTTTCCACAACTTTTTTTTTTTTTTTTTTTTTTCAATTTTTCTCACTATTTTGACACAAGAAATTAAAAATCTTCCAACAATACTTTACATGTCAGCATTTGACCTAGTTCTTCATCAATGGACTCAGAACAGTCTAATTTTTTATTTTAGAAAAATATTTGGCACTAAATTTCTCCAAAGTTCCTGATTACGTCACTGCATGCAGATATATATTCTTTAAAATCAAATTCTAAACCATGATTTTTAGTTCATAGTCTCACTCTCCTCCAGATTAGCTTCTGAAGAATTTATTTTGAAACCTGCATGAAGCAACTGGCAGTAGTTTTAATGGAAATTATGCTCTTTCTGCTATGCAAAAAACTGCATCAAGTATAGTAACAGAAAAGAAGAGTTTGTCATCAAGAGCAGTCATTAGAAGTTTTAGAATGAATGCAGACGTAAAGTTAAGGAAATTCACAGTGTACTTTAAGGAAATTCACAAAGTACTTTAACCCATCAACGAGCCCGCCTCTCGGAACGAAATGCTTTGAAAACGGCCGCGTTGTCAGACAACAAACCCCTCCAAAAAAATCTCTTTCGTTTTCTGAAATCTCTCTAAGATGGCCCAGCCTAAGGGCAGTATGTTTGCTTTCCCCTTAGTGTGATGGATAAGCCATAAAATTGCCTCCCCTCTATTGAATGGCAAGAAGTACTTGCGTTGCGTTTAGTTTCCCTCCTTCCTCTTTCTTTGTACTAGTAGCCTTGTAGACTCGTGTTTCTTTTAACATGCGACGGCCGAATTTTCCGAAATCTTTTTAGAATTTTAGCTTTCCAAGCTTGTAAATTTTCAATTATTCGACATGTTTTATTGGGCAGTATTTTAAGAAAGATCATTATTTATTTTGTTACACAAATTTTTTACTATTTACTAATCTATTTTATTTAGTTTTAGTAGGTCCAATTTATTTTGGGAAATTAAATTTAAATCCATTCTTTTACCGACTAAGTTTTCATCACATTATAAGTCCATATATATTTACGATGAGAGTACAATATTTATCAGAAATTTTTGGAAAATTTGGCATACGTATTTATATTTTAGCGTTGAATTTTTTCCACAAGTTGTTCGTTAACAGTCGAAGCTCATCCTCGTAAACGCTTGATCTTTTCAGCATGGAAATGGCAAGCAATAATCTTCCTAATATTTTTCGGGATTTTATAGCAATTTCTAGAAATTTTGGCGGTTTTCTACAAATATTTTGGGTAAGTTTAGCAATTATACAGTTGCTACTAATGTGGAATTTAAAGCCAAAAATGTATTCCTTCGTTGATTTGAGAGACCACATTTCGAATTTAAACGGAAGTTTAAATGAATTTTATACAATCTTAGCACAGACTAGAAAGAATTATTTCTCTGTGTTGGATGGATTTTTCTCACTTTTCTGCATTTGATAGATTAAATGCATAAAGCAAACACGCACAATAGAATTAAAATAAATTTATTTAAATAAATTTCTATTTTCATTTAAAATTTGTCATTATTAGCACCTCCCACAGTTTTATGCAATCATAGGATTTTTCCTAATTCTATTAGGTCGTTAACATAATTTCAAGGCCGAATAGAAAAGTGATAATATGGAAAGACTATGTCTTAAGTACCAATAGCCAAGTATTTGTAATTAAATAAAAAAATAAATATTGAATACCAGCCGCTTTTTTATTTATTTTAGTTTATATAACAAAAGATAAACAAGAATACTATTACATCTAAGAATTATTTAGTAATTATTTTGCTCATGTTATATGAATGATGAAACACGGTAAAAATGTTTAATGATTGAATTCACCGTTAAAAATCAAACAAAACCCCAAAATTCCCTTTTCCCAAAACTTCGTAAAATGTTTTGATTAAATATGATTTGAATAAGTTTTCCAATTCTGTTTTGAGTGATATAAATGAGGATATAAATATTATTAAATTAGGATATAAATTATTATTAGTAATAATTTTTTTGTATTATAACTTAGCAGAATATCGTTTACCACTAAAAATTATATCTAAAAGAATTAAATTTTGTAAAAGAATAAAAAATATAATTAACTGTTCCATTATGTCCTCTATGCATCTATTTATATAAAAAAGGAATCTGGCTAGGGAATTTACGACTTGTATATGAACTAAAAATTGGTATCTTGACAAAAGTTGTCAGAGCATAAAAAGCGTATATTCTGTGATATTAGTGGTATTAATCATACTTCTGTATCGTAAATGCAGTTTATAATTACCAGCATAAGTATCATAATGGATTTTTATTAAAACGACGAAAAGTGAATGCATGATCCTATCAAAGTTATCAAAGGCTCTTTATTATCCCGTTAAGTATTGCTTGGGTCGTTAACCAACACGAGTTTTATTTTTGAAATATTATTCCAAATAAAACAGGAAGCGTTAAACTATATACATTTTAAACAGTTTTACTTTTTTATATGCATACAAATGTTAAGTAGCTTTAAATTGTACTTCACTTCTGAAACTTCTGCGGTATTATTTTTAGAACAGATCAAGGACTTAAAGAACAAGTACATTTTAGTAATATGCAACGCTTAATGATATAGTTCAAATGTTATTGAACAACTGCACGATTTGTAACTGGCACTGGAAGAAGCAAAATTTATCTACAACAACTTTCCCTTTCTTCCCAAATTCGTCTGATTAGCAAGGATTGAATAGATAATTGTAAACGTCTTTGCTAAAAGTAATAATAATCGGGAAGAATCCTTTCTACCCTGCCTCCTGGGAAAAGAAAACGACTTGGAAGGGAACCTGACCTCCGCAGGCTAACTGACACTAAGGTCTCCAAAGACTATTTCTAGTCAATAGAGTTTTTCCATTGTAGAAATACTCATTATCTAGAGCTATCTTTTTTTCTAGCCATTGTAAGCTACAGATATAGTGGGAAAAAATTCTCATTTTACATAATTTTCGGATAATTACATTTTACGTTAAATAATTTTAGATTTTGATTAACGCAATCGATGAATATGGCAGAAAAATAGTTTGTTGTAAACATTGTAAATTTCAACGTTTTTTTAAGTAAAGATTTCAAGTAAACCAAACCAAAGATTATTAAATTAGTCTTATAATGTTTACTGTTTGGTTTTCAGTGTTCTGAATTTGCATTTTAAAAACATAATTTAAATAATCTTTCTTTACGCTAGTCGCTTTAAAATGTTTACCTATGTAAACACTTACTAATGTTTAATGTAGCAACTTTGTATGTACTTAACGAAAGACTTAGAGGAATTTATAAAGAAAACTAGTTCACATGGAAAAAATCACGAAATCTTCCTTACAGCCATCGTATTGACCAGAAACCAAAACCAGGTCAAAATACTTATGATCATCTCTTTTATCCACATAGCCATTGGTAAACTTTTCAAACTTATACTTGTTCTTATTGCAGTTATAAACAGAAATGTGAACACTCAGATACTGCGCTTGTTAAAGTTAGTACAGTCTGCGGCTGATTCTATATCTGCCGAGGTGTTTTCGAAAAAAAACTTGAAAGATAATAAATTATGTTACCTGCTGAGTCATCGAAATATTATATATTTTTTTTATTGAAACTGAAAATTTTATAATTTTCTATAAAACTGCAATGGAATTATTGCATTGAGTAATCTTCAGTGTGATGTAATTAGTGTCCTAAATATAAAAGTATGTAAAAATTAAAATTGGAAATTGCAGCAAATCAGTCCCTAGAAATATGCTATGCCTGTATTAATCTAGTAGCAATCAATTATTCATGAACATTATAGTATGCATGCCATATAACAATTTGTCAGCAGTACAGGAAACAATTTCGATATGCGTGCCTTTTCTTTTAACATAGTTTTTCTCTCGTTACTTTTAAGATAAACATATAACTTGAAATAGTTTTTCTTCCTCCAGCTTTCACTTATTTACTTCTTAAAATATCTCCACTAAAATCAGAGTGATATTATCAACGATTTTTCTTTATTATATAAATATAAAATTTATCCTTTATTATATAAATAATTGAAATGCTTAAATTTGACATTCTAATAAATATTTTATAGTAACTCTCTGAAAAATTTAACTTCTTTTAAAATGTATGAAAATGAATTAAATCGTGTATTTTTTCCAGTCTTAATGATAATAAAATTTTAGAATCATCAGTTATATATCCGTATTGATTATGAGAAATTATCTCATTCTTCTTTGAGCTGGAAATTGCTCAATGGAGCTTCTTCCAGCTAGAATTTGAACTCAAGGTGTAAGTGATAGTAGATCGGACTATCAGTCGGAATGCCTGTGGTGCGTATTCCGCTGATAGGATAACGGATGTTTCGTGTTTTTTTTTTTTTTTTTTTTTTTTTTTTTTCCTCGTAAAAACGCTATGTCTCTTCAATGGCACCCCAACGAAAACATGTCAGACGATAATTCGTTAACACATGAATT